CACATCCTTGATTTGCATAGCTCCTCCCACACATCTGAGGCTCTACCCACCAATGGCTAAACCCTGCCCCTGGAGCTCCTCCCACCGCCACCCAGTTCCACCAATGGGCGCCCTCCTCCAGGGAAAGCTCCACCCCCTCCAAGGCTCCACCCTGCCCCAACAAGCCCCACCCCCCCACAACTGCCCCACCCACTCCCAGCCCTCACCCATAGACTCCTCCCAACAAAGCCCCACCCCAAAGCCACACCCAAAAAGCTCCACCCAGTGCACAAAGCCACGCCCACTACAGCCCCTGCCCTCAGGCCACGCCCACAGTGGTGGCAGCCCCACCCCCAGGCGCCCCCCGTCCCCCGTCCCCGCACTCACTGTCGGGCAGGGCGCTGACCCGCGGGCCCAGGCAGCCGAAGAAGGGGTGAGCCATGGCCTCCGCCGCCGGCAGCCGCCGTCGCCCCTCGAACTGCCCTGCCGACCGTCAGGACACGCCCACGGGGCGGGGACACGCCCACAGAGGGCGTGGCCCCACCAATCCCCACCCCCTCCCGCCCTTGTGTGCCCCCCACCTCACAGTAGGTGGAGCCTGTGTAAGCCACGCCCATGGAGGGGATCTTGGGGAAGCCACGCCTCGTCTGGGAAAGGGGCCGGTGCCTTGGGGTGGGGGGGTGGGAATGGCACAGGGAGGGGCTCGGGGTGGGGCTGGGAGGGGCCCGTGGGGAGGGGCGGGGCCAGCACAAGCCCATCCCCCCTCACCTGCAGCAGCTGCCCCAGCAGGTCAGCGCCGTCGTGGTCCAGCCTGGGGGGTGGAAAAGGGGGAGTCAGGTACCCCCCCCGTGGGGCAGCAACCTCCCTATGGGATTGGGACACCCCCTACGGGGCAGAGACCCCCCTCATGGGGCAGGGGAAGCCCCTGCTATGGTGCAAAGAGTCCCCCCGTGGTGCAGAGACCCCCGCTATGGCACAGATACCCCCGCTATGGTACAGAGACCCCCACTTTTGGGCAGCAACCCCCCTCCCCACGGGGCAGCCCTCCCACGTGCCCCCCCCACCGTGGGGCGTGGTGCCGCAGCCCCTCGGGCGGGTACAGCGGGTACTTGTGGGCCCGGAACTCAGGGTTGGCCCCGATCCCCGGCCACGTCTCCTCCGTCGGGGTCCCTGGGGGAGACAGGGCAGGTCAGAGGGCCCCAAAACCCCACTGAGCCCCCCCCAAGTGCCCCCTCACCCTCCAAATCCCTGAGGATCAATCCAAAATTCCCCACGGCCCCCCAAACCTTGGACCCCCCCCCAACCTTCCAATTCCAGGGACCCGCAAAATTACCCCAAACCCCTTTATTCAACCCCAAACCCCTTTCATTTTCCCCAAGCTCCTTAATTTTCCTCAAAGCTTCTCATATTACCTCAGATCCCCTTCAGTTATTCCAAAACCATTTAATTTCCCAAGCCCCTGACTCTCCCAAATTGATCCAAACCCCCTAATTTCCACCCGATTTTGATTAAAATCCCCTAGATTTCCCCAAGGCCCTTAATTTACTCCAAGTCCCCTGAAATTTTCCCCAAAACCCCAAATTTTCCCCAACTTTCCCCAGTTCCCCCCAATTTTCACAGAACCCCTGAATTTGTCCCAGTCCCGTCAAAAAAAACCCCAAAACATTTATCCCTCTCAAGCCTGTTTATTCCTCCCCAGCTTTGCCCCAAAGACTCTGATTTCACCCCAATCCCCCCAGGTTCACCCCAAACCCCCCTGGATTCCCCCCAGAGCCAAGTCCCCCGTACCCAGCAGGCGGAAGATGAAGTGCAGCTGCTCCTCCACAGTGGCCCCGGGGAACAGCGGCCGCCCCGTCACCATCTCGGAGAAGATGCAGCCGACGCCCCTGTGCCCAGCGAGACCCTCAGGCAAAAACCCCCCCCAACACCCCCCCCCCCAGAGAGCCCCCCAGGCAAACCCCCCCCCAGACATCCCACTCCCAGAGAGACCCTCCTGCGAGAGACCTCCCACCCCAAGCAGGGCTCGTGCTCCTCATGCGAGACCCCCAGGCTGGCACAGACCCCCGTGCCCCCTCCCCATGCAAAACCCCCAGGCTGGCACAGACCCCCATGCTGTTCCCTTCTCGTGCAAGACTCCCAGGCTGGCACAGAGCCCTGTGCCCCCTCCTCATGCAAAACCCCCAGGCTGGCACAGAGCCCCCGTGCCCCTTCCTCATGTGAAACTCCCAGGCTGGCACAGACCCCCGTGCTGTTCCGTCCTCATGCGAGACCCCTGGACTGGCACAGACCCCCGTGCTGTTCCCTTCTCGTGCAAGACCCCTGGGCTGGCACAGAGCCCCGTGCCCCCTCCCCATGCAAGACCCCCAGGCTGGCACAGACCCCCGTGCCCCCTCC